TAGGTTTTACCTTTAATTTGTGTTTTTTGACACATGTCCTGCCTCCTGAATCTGCTTTTTGGAACTATATTTGTAATCTAACTGCAGTTAAAGTTAAGACTTTTCTTCTGAAATATCCCCCAGATGCTGTTTGAAATGTTTATCTAAAACTGTTTTAACGTGATCTTCCTTATTTTAACAATTCTATAGTGTTTGAGTTGATGAATTTGGTCACCACCTGTCAAATGCTTGGTGGACATTTATTATTAAAACTACAGAAAAGCCACGTCACACCCAGAAATAAACTCCAGCTTATAATATTTCAACCTATTCCACAGTGTTAGAGGAAATAAAGACTCACCCTCTACTTTTAAAAAGGTCAGGATCAGGGGTGTAGCAAAACAAGACTTTTAGAGACCCCCTGCATGGGTGGCTTTAATTACAGCTGAGGAAGTGGCGCAGCTAAATGTGAACCACCCTGCTTGGCTGTTACATCCCATGATTCTGAATGAAAGCAGAAAAGCAGTTTAATATCTTTTAAAGTGCTTGTGTGTGAGAGAGTCGCACGCTAGCAGTGTGTGGCAAAGACACCATGCAGCATATGGGCAGGCACTGGCTGTTAAGCAGAGGGGACATCAAAAGGTGGGTTTTAACACACACAGACACACACACACCATTGCCACCCCTCACTATAAATCCCATCCCAAAAGGAGCCATTTATGGGACAATAAGAGCGAATTCATGGCCCCCCAGAAAATGAAGGCAAATCAAAGGTGTAGTATGAAAGATGACAAGGGCTTTCTTGGGGCTAGCTTGTAGCCCTGTGTTTCTTCACAACTTTATCTTCTTAGCCTTTCATTTCCTCTCCCAACCGTTCCTGGCAAAATGCAAATGGAAACTGCAAATGCATTTTCTGTTATACCTTTTGCACCTTGCATTTTTAAGACTTTTAGAAATTACTTCATATATCTTACTGTAGCTAAGATCTCGGCCCATGTGGATGACCTCTCCTGTCCCCTAGAGGTCACAAAATGTTTTCAGTTGAATATATACATAAAGACAATGGCATTAGCAGCATTCTGGAAACACACACACAGAGGCACACAAGCCCTGGACCAGATCACGTCTGCATCAGAGTTACTCAGGTGTGGTTAGATTGCTGGAATACTGACACGAGACGTTTGGGGAAAATCACAGGGGCCGTGCCCCAACCACTCAAGCATAATACAACAGCTCTCTGGCCTGTTGCTGATAGATGTAACAGCACATCAGGAAGAGCACTTTTGCTGTTTTGTCTGTCTCTAGGCAGACACAAAGCTAAACCAACTTCCACAGTCTACACACCAGAGTAGTACGTCTCTTTGAGGTTGCCCAACAATGAGTCAGCTACCTACAATATGCCTGGAAACAACTGCTCCTCTCCCCCTTCTCTTCCTCTCTCGTTCTTTTCCTCTTTTATTCATTTAGTTTTATAGTCTGTAATAGTTACCAAGTATCATTAAGGCCAACCTCTGTGGCTTCTAACAGCGCTGTAGGCAAGCCAAGTGTTTGTTGTCGGCATTTTATTGGCTTCCAGGGAGGAGGGTTGTTGTTTTTCAGTGTAATCTTGGCACGGCAATAACAGGTTTCAATAAAAGCAGCTGCTTTCTTATGGCAGTGAAGCCGCTCTCCTCGCTCCCCCCTTCTGCAAGTGTGGTGGGTGGAATAAATGGAGAGCTACCTGTAGATAAGACTGAAAGTGTCTTCATTTGTCCTTACACATCTAGAGCACTTCTGCTTCTCTTCATCTCTTGTCCCTTTTTCTTGGATGTTTTTTTTAATCTTTCGGATCTCTGTCACTCCTTTCCAGAACAGGTTGCTGTGGTTTTAACTGGTATGCTGTGCCTTAGTCCAGTTGTAGCTGGTTTAGCTTGACCACACTGCCCCCTTTAGGGAACAACATGCGGTTGCAAAAGCTAAAGAGGAAAAGCCAACGATATGCATTAAATGAATGCAATATAATTAAACTAATATTTAAAGTATTTGTTGCCAATCTGCATTTAGTTATTGGCAAAATGAATTGTTTATACTGACACTGTTCCCTCTTGTCACTAACATAGTAATAAAAACATTAAAGATAAAAAAACGATTTGATCAGTCCAGGATCGTGTCAACATTATTATATGGGGATATAGCAAGGACAAAGCTGCAGAGAGAAATGGGAGACAAGAGTAAGGACAAAAGGAGGAGACCAAATAAAATGAGAAAAAGAGGGGGCATTTGTTCAGTCAGTTTGACTGGACGCAAGTAGTACATTGGGAAACACTTGAAGGTCCGGTGTAAACAGTGTGATTGATCGTAAACAGTCATGCAAATATGATACAGCAATAACTACACATTTGGGGCGTTACAACATTTTCCAGTAAGTCTCAGGAAGAAAAAGACATCAGTGATTTATGTCTATAATAATTCTCTGATTATGTAACTTGAACTTGATCCTCAGCTCTGATACAGGGCAATGTAAACGTTGTCCTATGCTTTAACTTGTATGTTAATTACTAATGCATATAAAATAACAATAAAGTCTGAAAAAAAATGTTATCTTACTTCTCCATGTGAGGTTTCTCAGAATAAATCTTCAGCTGTCATACAAAACACAGGTTGACAGTTCGAATTTAAGTGAAACTCTCTTGTATTGCTTTCTTCTATAAGATCTCTCATTTTTCTTGGCAGTGAAGATTGATTTGCCACCACATTCCACAGTTAAAAGGTAGAAAGAGTCCCTCTGTGGCTACAAGAGTTCCTGTCTCTCATGTAAAATTAAAAAGCACTGCAGACAAACATTATTGAACCTCTACTGAAGCATGAACATTCCATGATGTCTGGCTGACCCTGACACAGGTTCGTGTTTCCTCTATTGGTTTCTCAAGGGTTTTTGTTTTTTTCTCCTCCATCAATCATTCCTTATTTTCTAAACGTCTAACCGTTATTTCAGCGTTCAGAGGTGGCACGCAGCAGCAGGCATGTGCAAGTATTGAGTCCAGTATATTTAGCCGTGCTAGCAGTGTGGCTCTCTGGAAGCCAATCCCGGTTGGTGGGTTTGGTTTAGACTGAAATATAAGCTAAACATCATCAACAGGTCAATATATTCTGGTTTATGACTGAAATAAATATCTGCAGTACTTCATGTTTAGCAGTAGTTAGTAAATATTAGCTTGTTTTGAGCATTTAGCTCAATGCACCGCTGCCGCTGCAGTCTCACAGGGCTGCTAGCATGGCTGTATACTCTTTCATTTACCTGAGATATCTATCTATGTCACACATGAATGCATAGATATTCATACAGATTCTGGTCTCCCAAAAAACCCTCACTGTATTTAACACCATCTGTTTTGCACTCCCAAACAGTTCCATTCATTATGACGTCAGTAGGCAGTCATGAAGAACACTAAAACCTTTGTCTGACCACATTTATGCACTTGCTCCATATCTACTCGCTGCTATTTTTGAACCCTTAGTTTGAACCCTCTGCCAACAGCCCCCTGGGAGGTGAGTGACAGCTTTTATATGCCATAATACATGAAACTGATATGAATGAACATGACTCATTGAGAAATGACACATCACTTTCCAAAAACTTGTTTTAGCGATGTCCCTCTGCGTCAAAAGCAACTTTTATATTCCTTTAATCCAAACAGCCTTTTGACAAAAACACAAGTTAATTTCCATTATCTTTGGACCGTTCAGCTAATTAAGCAAAAGTCACATTTGACAAGGCCAAATGAATTCACCAGAATCCACCAAAGTCATCACAAATGTTGTTTTCATAGACCGTTTCACAGGCATTTACTAGTCAATCACATTGTTGACCAGTCCTGTCGTCGCAGCCCTGAGCGGTCTGATCCCTGAATGACAATATGTTCTGGTCACATGGAGTGTATCGGGGCGGAAAAAGTCTCTTGTTCTGCCAATTAACATTCATGAGTGCGTCGTTTCCAAGAAAAACCTTACATCGATCCAGTTCGACACAGCAGCTTGTTGCCATTGTTGGAGCCATCTTTGCTAACAGCTGCGCCATGTAAATCCCGCACCCCATCACTTACAACACTGATCGTGGGCTGTACTTTGGCCTTTAGTTGTTATCATTTGTTTCTTTCACAAGCTGTTATGCAGGCAGGGATGATGGGATAAGTCTGTGTGACCGTTTGAGGCTTCTGAAATGCTAATGTCCTGGCTTTCTTTGTCTGTGTCATGTAGTCCAAGAACTTTATATACTGTGTGAAAAGTTTCCATATTTGTTCATATCAACCTGGGGTGCAAAATACCCTTGGTGGGCTCTTAATATCTGTAGGTCATGAGTCAGTCAAGGAATAATATTGGAGCAAAGGCAAGAACTCTGGACAAAATGAGTCATCTGTTATGATCAAAATCATTTAAGTTGTTATTTCTAGTAAAATAACATTAAAAAACATAATTAATCCTGCCTTCAGTGACTTTTTCCCCCAGTCTAAATGAGGCAAAATATGTGTTTAAAAGACAAACAATGAGGTTCTGCCTAGACTGGCGGGGGGTATGGCTTTAAACAGAGCTGAGGGGGTTTCCTAAGTCAAAGACAGTTGGGAACCAATGGTTTATATGACAGTACAATCATGGTCATATGGCTGTGACCTCCCAAAGGCATCCAGAGGTTATCCATGATTCACTCGGATAATGAGCCTCATCACTTAGGCTGTCACCCGCTCTCCTCCGAGGCCCGGGCTCACATTTGCAGCTAGAAATGCATTGAAGGGTTACATGAGCGGTAATCCCATGCAACGCTGACCAGCGTGATACATTACTGTAAGCAAAAGAATGATTAGATACTTATTTCTTATAATATTGAAGTGCACTGTGATCTGGAACAGGAGAAAAGAAGTTCAACACTGAGAATTAATTTGCTTTAGAGTGCCACTCCTTACTTCATTTAAATACGCCTTTACCCTGGAGGGCGGTTGGCCTTTGTTTAAAGACTATTTGCTGAAGGGATAAAGGAAAAGCTGCAGAAACAAGAGTTTGTTTTTTATTTCACACTTTGAGATACCACTTTGAATTCATCATCCTTCAACAGTTGAAGTACTTATGACATGACATCATTAAGTTTTGGTTCCTGAGTAATGACTGTCATGAGTCCATAACAATTGCATTGGCCAAATCTAGCAAGTTAATGCACCCGGCCATATTTCACATTTGACATGAATAAACTTTACCCACTTGGCACAACTTCTCTATCACTTATTCATTAATTGTCAACCACTGATGTCCATTTCCTTAGGGACAAACACCCATTACTCAATGTGTTTGTGATATATTAACTAAAATTGTTATGAAACACTAATTGCCAAGGTTGCTGACTAAGATGATTCCTTCAGATTACTTGGAGCACTGAAAATGGTTGATTTTCAACTTGTATAAATGGGCACTTCAGAATAACATAGAGCAGATACTTGACCTTTCGGCATCCACAAACAAGACCACAAAGCTTTTGAAAGCACTGGCAGGACAGCTGGCTCTTTTTGATCGAGATCAATTCTTTACCTATACAGTATGCATTGCAGATGGCTCTTTGGTGCTGTCTTCATCTTTTTACCTTTTTCACGCTATTTCCTGAGTTCTTTTGCCATGTTATTTACAGGCAATCAGGGCACAGTGCCACCTGTCCAGGTAGGTGAGCTCTACAAGGACACAGTCTGCGGTGAGAAGGATCCGAGCCAGCACAACTGAACAACAGAGGCTCCTGCTGAAGGCCACAGTGCTGACCCCAAGGGCTGTAGGAAGGAAACAGGTGATTGACTTCCTGCCCCATGCTGGAGCAGCCTATCCCGAGTCTACAAAGTGGGAAATGGAAGTATTTATTTGTATATTTATAATGCACACACAGTATTGCCATTTTAGAATGTTCTTCTGATGTTATGGTTCAGAGGTGTAAATACTGAATGCATATTGGCCATCTATGACTAAAAATTAGTTGATTTGTTAGTTGCATACAACGCTAACGGCAGCATAAAGTGTTTGCATGGATCATACAGAAAGCGCTCAGACAATATAAATGCGCTTTTATCTGTAATTTCCCAGAAATGAACTTATATGTCTCCCCCGACACCTGTATAGTGTGTACATGCTGATTTCCTACCTAGTGAATGCAGCAGGACTGTTCAGGTGGTGAAACAGAGCGGGCTCACACACGTGGGAAGATTTTTGACACACACTGACACATGACTGACCCAGGGGGCCCAGGTGTACCCTTAGAGCACTTTCTGGCGGCCAAGTAGGGGCAGATTTACTGCAAAAATTCTGGAGAGATTTAAGAAGAAGAAAGTTGAGAGTGCAAAGAGGTTGAACCAAGTAAGAGCTGAACAATTTCTACTACTATCATATGTCACAAATAACTCTCTCTTGAAATTCACGCATTTTATCTTGCTTAGCAACTCTAAAAGACTGACTGAACCTGCCTATTCAATGTTGAGTCAGACTATTTTGAACATATTAGTATTTTAAACCCACCACCATCTACCATTGTGTCCCTGAGCAAGACACTTAACCCCTAGTTGCTCCAGAGGCGTGTGACCTCTGACATGTATAGCAATTGTAAATCGCTTTGGATAAAAGCGTCAGCTAAATGAATAAATGTAAATGAAAAATATCAGTCGATTTCCACTCCATTTTTAGATACTATTTTCACACAATTCATAATTCATTGCATATAACAGGCCAGTGTCAATGACTCTGATGGGAGCACCGAAAAACATTGCAACAGATCTATCCTACATGCTGTACCTGGTGAGTGACATAACCATGAACTCTCTCCAGCATTCCCTCACACGTGAACTCTCGAGGAGTGAAAGGCGTCACCTGCAAAAACTTTATTCAGTGCTACTGTAACAGAAATGTATAGGATTGCAAGGTGTGCGTCTATACACATGTATATACTCCACCTCTGTGCGTTGAATGGCTCGGACTGCCTCTTGTACATCAGTCTTGTTGGTCACATCTACTGTCCACACGTGGGGTTTGCCAATGTATCTTTCAGCATACGGGTGCTGGGAGGAGATCTGTAGGCAGAATTCTTTTACTGTCTTTAAATCTAAAAATTGATGTACAATATTTATATTAAATTCAAACTGTCATTTTTTCCAGTTTGGGGAGTAACCTACCTGTCTTGTGGTGGGCTTGCCTTTGTAGAATTTATTGTTGTCCGATGAGTGTGGTGGGTCAAATCGTGGCTGAATGAAGACACAGCCCAGAGCTATTGCCTCAATAGGAGCTGGACCCTCAAAGGGGAACCCAAGTCCTACAAACACCTGAAAAAGAAGCATATAGTATAGTAAGGAAGACATAGTATTTTGAATCTTAATGAAGAGCCATCATAGGCTATAAACAAGGCAGGACAGGCAGGCTAAGCATATATGATCCATCTGGGGCCACAATTCACTTACAAATTCAATGACAATCTACTTGAGAAACAATAGAGTAAAAAGATTCAGATTCACTGACTTCCCAGCTTTATTCTGAGATGAGCTCTTATCTGACCTTGGCTCTGCGAAGAAGTCGTAGGAAGCGTTCCTGAGTCAGCAAGCCGTGGTTTCTGATGAAGCCGGGCAGATTAGAGGCGTGTCCTGGAGGCTGGTAGACTGTAGCATGGGTCTCCAGTTCTTCACTGATCACCCCCACATACTCAGATTTACCCTGATATATACATACACACAAAAGTTGATTTATTTCAGTAATTCCATTCAAAAAGTGAAACTTGGATATTATATTCATTCATTACACACAGACTGATATATTTCAAATGTTTATTTCATTTAATTGTGATGATTAAAACTGACAACTATTGAAAATCCCAAATTCAGTATCTCCGAAAATTAGAATATTACTTAAGACCAATACAAAAACAGGATTTTTAGAAATGTTGGCCAACTGAAAAGTATGAACATAAAAAGTATGAGCATGTACAGCACTCAATACTTAGTTGGGGCTACTTTTGCCTGAATTAATGCAGCAATGCGGCGTGGCATGGAGTCGATCAGTCTGTGGCACTGCTCAGGTGTTATGAGAGCCCAGGTTGCTCTGATAGTGGCCTTCAGCTCTTCTGCATTTTTGGGTCTAGCGTATCGCATCTTCCTCTTCATAATACCCCATAGATTTTCTATAGGGTTAAGGTCAGGCGAGTTTGCTGGCCAGTTAAGAACAGGGATACCATGGTCCTTAAACCAGGTACTGGTAGCTTTGGCACTGTGTGCAGGTGCCAAGTCCTGTTGGAAAATGAAATCTGCATCTCCATAAAGTTGGTCTGCAGCAGGAAGCATGAAGTGCTCTAAAACTTCCTGGTAGATGGCTGCGTTGACCTTGGACCTCAGAGAACACAGTGGACCAGCACCAGCAGATGACATGGCACCCCAAACCATCACTGACTGTGGAAACTTTACACTGGACTTCAAGCAATGTGGATTCTGTGCCTCTCCTCTCTTCCTCCAGACTCTGGGACCTTGATTTCCAAAGTAAATGCAAAATTTACTTTCATCAGAGAACATAACTTTGGACCACTCAGCAGCAGTCCAGTCCTTTTTGTCTTTCGCCCAGGCGAGACGCTTCTGACGCTGTGTCTTGTTCAAGAGTGGCTTGACACAAGGAATGCGACAGTTGAAACCCATGTCTTGCATACGTCTGTGCGTGGTGGTTCTTGAAGCACTGACTCCAGCTGCAGTCCACTCTTTGTGACTCTCCCCCACATTTTTGAATGGGTTTTGTTTCACAATCCTCTCCAGGGTGCGGTTATCCCTATTGCTTGTACACTTTTTTCTGCCACATCTTTTCCTTCCCTTCGCCTCTCTATTAATGTGCTTGGACACAGAGCTCTGTGAACAGCCAGCCTCTTTAGCAATGACCTTTTGTGTCTTGCCCTCCTTGTTCAAGGTGTCAGTGGTCGTCTTTTAGACAGCTGTCAAGTCAGCAGTCTTGCCCATGATTGTGTAGCCTACAGAACTAGACTGAGAGACCATTTAAAGGCCTTTGCAGGTGTTTTGAGTTAATTAGCTGATTAGAGTGTGGCACCAGGTGTCTTCAATATTGAACCTTTTCACAATATTCTAATTTTCTGAGATACTGATTTGGGGGTTTTCATTAGTTGTTGGGTGGGTTATAATCATCAAAATTAAAAGGAATGAATACTTGAAATATATATAAATATATAATATAAATAAATATATATATATAAAATAATATAATATATATATAAATATATTATACAAGTTTCACTTTTTGAATGGAATTACTGAAATAAATCAACTTTTTGATGATATTCTAATCATATGACCAGCACCTGTATAGAAACATGCACATACAGGACATGTAGGCTTAAGACCAGCATGTACACAAACACTCATAATTGTGAATAATTGTCTTCACTATTATGTAAAATAAAAAGTCTTCACTATTATGTAAAATTGTGTTGTAGCTGGCTTTTTGGCATGCTTCTTGCTAACTCACAGTCTTTACTTTACTCATTTGTGTCATTATACCTGCCACATGTAGTCCTGTTTGCCATAGACAACTGCTATCCTTTCTTTCCTGTAGGTATACGGCTCCAGCTCTTCCTCCCTTACCTTCCCCCTCACTTCCTCCTCGCTCACGAAGCCCAGGAAGGAATTATCAGGAGTATGAGCTAGAGATGACAGACCACAGAACAGTTAGATGACATGTTAAAAAGATAAATAAATTGCACCATCAGTGTCTATGCTCTCAACCTCCAACCCCAATCACAAAATTACCATTCTACGAGAAACCTCAGGGCTAGAGCTCCGACTTAATTCAGAGTTTTGAGTAGTATTAAACTACTTTATTTGTGAGTAATTTATTTTACCAAAACAGGATCAAAAATGTGAACACAGTGTGGAAAATGTGATCAGGCTATACTGACAACACAGGCCAAAAATATTACCGGTGAATAACAGCTAGGATTAAAATTCTGTGAGAGAGGAAAAACATGCTGTGCAGTATAAATCAGCAGTTGAAGGAAACAAGAAGTCCACATATATGAGAAGTTAACGACTGGCTGTTTGGATAGGCAGCTGCCACCCTGCTGCCCTCCGACACACTAAGGAAGGTGTGAAAGATGAGTATTTACTTTACTAGGAATGTGCCAGCAAAGGGGTGTGTGTGTGTGTGTGTGTGTGAGGGTCTGACTTATGCTACCTTCAGGGACACATTTCAGACTAAAAACCAGGTAATTGGGGACAGCTTGTTCAATTGGGGACAAAAGCTGTGTACCTAATTGTGGAAAAACTAATGAATTTAAGTCAATTTGCATGTGCATCATTCTCTCCTGTCTCAAGGCCAAATCTCCCCTCATTCACCGTTACAGCAGCACAGAATTTCCTCTTGGCTCAGTTTCAGCTCCATTTGTCCCCACTTGTCTCTTACACCTGTCTAGGTTCACTGCTTAACACACTCACCTAGAGATAAGATTAGCAGAGATATGCAACAGCACACTGATATGATCAAGACATGTAGCATGTGGGGGGTTTGATGGGAAGCTGTGAAGGAATGAAGTTTCTTGGTTTCAGCCTTCTTGCTGCCTGTTTACAGTTCTGCTTCGTCAGCTTGTCTGTTTAGTGCAATCAATGCAATCGACCGTCTTCCTCTCCACCATTTCAAAACAGAAGCATAAACATCCACCCGCACTTTTCTCAAGCTCCTTTCTTTATTTTCTTCTTCCTGTGTCTTTGTTTCTGTTTTGCTGTCTTCCTGCCCTTTCCCCATCAGTTAACAGTCATCCCTCTCTCCCCCTCAGCAGGACAAATAAACAGTGCTCCAGACCGAGGCCAGAAAGGTGGCTCTCGGCCCAGTGCGTCCAGCTTGTCTCCATCTCCCGGCAGGGTGGGAAAGATGACAAGGAGAGGTGTTGGAATGAAAGCTCTGTCTGGGCACCAAGTTTATTTAAACTCAGCTATTAATCCTCTCAATGTGAAGACGCTAAGAGGGGTGTATGTGAAGGATCAGTGCTGCGGCAGCAAGATATGAATATGTGTGTAACTATATATATATATATACTGTACTGTGTTGAATCTCACACACTGAGTCACATGTTTGCATGATTATAGACACACAAATATATACACATACACACAGACTTACGGAACATGGTCATGTACTGCAGAGGTTGCAGACGCCAGCTGCCCCACAGGGTTTTATACCCATGGCTATGTGCATAACTCCCCAAGTTAAACACTGGTTCAGTGCCAAAAGAGTCCAATATTCTGAAGCGACACCTAAAATGATTTTTACAAATAGATTATCACAACCTTAATTTTAGATTGATACACTCTGGTTGGCTACAAATGTATCAGTTCAGCAGCGATCACATAAACACAAACAACTTGTGGTGTGTAATTCTGCCTTCGTCTTTACTTTTCATATTTGTCAGGGCTTTCTTACATTTCTCTGGTGCTGGGTAAATTTCATGGCCAAAAATGTTGTAGAAAGCAAAGTATAGCAACTGTTATTGCTCTTTTTAAGTTGACATTGTACTTTGGTATTGTATAGTGTAAAATATGCGATAGTGACAGTATGCCTACATTTTAAAACAACATTGTCACACTATAATGCAAGCAACATTAGAAATAGAAAGGGGAAAAAATAGCTACTCTAATGTAAGTGATTCTTTTCTGTGGCCATTTTATTTATGATAATTAATATGTGGAGGTCAGTGTATATAAATCATTTAATTTATCATTACATTAATCCCAAAGAATATGAAACACACTTGAGTGTAAATTTAACAGTGTAAATGTAAAAGAAGTCATTATTCAGAGAATAAAGAAATACTAATATACTAGAAGCATAATTATGTATTTAGAAAATTCAAGATGTACCGGTAATGCAGGAAAGCAAGTCCCATGGCACCTTGAAGGTGAGCAAGGCCATGGTAGTCAGTATAGATGAGGTCAAACATCAGGGGCCTCTGGATTGGACAACTGCCTCGGCCTGGAGCAGCACCTATGAGGCTGGACCAATCAGAATAAACACACATCGCATCACTTGCTCCGCGTCATAGACCAGACACCTGTGAAAACATCATGTATCAATTATGCCGCTGGTTACTTTCATAGGACAGTGGTGCCAACCTGTGGAGTTGGTGCTGTGACGTGCTGAAGGTTAGGTTGTGGCCCAGGATTGTCAGACAGGCACTGAGGTCAGCCCACTGGACCAGCTCCCCGAGAGGACCCCCCGTCTCCACCATGGCTTCAAAACTCTGGCCAATACTCCCAGCCAGGGCACCGGGATAAAGCAGCACCTAGAGGTTGGGAGGTGGGGGCGTTATGAAGTCCAAAATCCATATTTAAAGAATGCCAACATGGCAGTTAAGTAGAAGAAAGGGTAACCAGTTCATATTGTATTCATTATGGAAGTGAGCTTAAAAACCAAATGTGAGGGAAAACCAGATTTTTAATACTATAAACATCAGAGTAAACACACACTAAAAACCCTTTATATAAACATTACGTTCACAAAGGCATGTTTTTGAAAACTTCTAAATATGTGTTGGGGTAATTTCACAAATTAACTTGGCTTGGCAGAATTGACTTGCTGGTTTTTACCCTCATCTGGGTTGACATTGTTTTGTTGTTGCTCTGCCTCATCCTCAGACCAGCCCGTTTCCACCGTTCAGACATCCTTTCGACTCTGGACCGGATGAAGTTTATGGCAGGACCACTGTTGTTGCTAATGATCTCATAGAGTGGGCTCAGAGTTGTACGTATCTCAGCCTGTGTATCATGGGGTAAAACAGTGATGTAGTGCAAAGTATGTACAGTATATCTGATAGAAATCATAGTACTGTTTTAGCAGAGTAGATCATGAGCTTAATAATTCTACATTCATAGTACAGTGATACTCAATGGAATGAACCTGATGTGGCTGTACCTTCTCTGTGTAAGTGTGAGGTTTCTGGTGCCACGGCAGCGCAGAGTGGTTTCTTCTAAGACGAGGAGGACAAAAGCCTTCTATTTGGCTAAGGTAAGTTAATATGGAGCAAGTGGTGCCATCCACCCCATAAAAGGCATAACAGGGGTCTGACTGCCACCGGGTCCGTAGAAACTGCCAGAGACACAGATGTTAAATCAAAATAATGATAAGTCAAAGTAAGTACAGTAATTCATCATGCTCATTAGTTTAGCTATAAACTACATGCTATGTTGTAGCACACATTATTTTAAAATGGTATTTCCATATCCAGCTCAAACTTGCCCATATACCAAGAACTAAATATTAAACTTAAAACTTTAAATTGAGGTAAGCACTTCAACAGTGCACACACAGAGTCATGGAGTTCATGCTACCACAATTTCCACTTTCTCACCTCCACTTTCTCCGCACACACCGGATATGTAGGATCCATTGGCACCTCACACTTCTCATTGGGCCCTATGGGTAAGATATTAGCCGTCACATAGTTTTTCTTTATATGGCCATTTTGAGTGCATCATTATTCCACAACCCTGGCTTTAGTAAGAAAACGTGCATTGTAGGGTTAACTCACTGCGGGTAATGAAGAACAGTGGACAATAACTTTGATATACAGCCTCTCGACTGAAATGTTCCCAATGAATAGCAGCCATCAGCACGATGTATAGTGCTGCCATGCGTGTAAGAGGCATTAGAGTAGAGGCAGTGTGTTCTCAGAGGCCCTTTCCCGTAAGCCCCCCACCATCTCTAGCCAATGTCAATCAACAGAAATGAACACACGCACTCACACACACCTGACCCACCTGCCTCCTACCAAACATACCCTTTTACAATGCTAGCCATTGCCAAAATACACAGTCCTTAACTATGTAAAACAACCTAGTAAAAAGGAAAGGAGAGAGAAAAAAAAGATAAGAAAACTCGTAAGCATAGCCGAGGTGTGAAAGCCTAAAAACAGTGATATGCTAAAAACGAAAAAAAAAGTGCTCCCTCTGCAAAAACAAGAGTATGAGTAGACAAGCTGGTGAAAGGACTCCTGGGTAATTCAGTCGTATTTTATGGGTGTGAGGTAATGTGAGAGGAAGAGGGTAAGGGGCGAACAGGCTGGTGATGGGGAAGTGTGTGTTTGTGTGCATGCGGGTGGCATATGTGTGTGCATACTGCATGTGTGTGCCCTCATATATGCACAGCATGGTGTCTGGCCCAAGCTTTATGAATTCCCTTTTTCAGGAAGGGAGGTAAGCATGTGCCCACTCATCGCCACTGCCCACACATGCGCACACACACACACACACACACACACACACACACACACACACACACACACACACAACCCCTTGCGTGCCAATCAGGGTGCGTAACCCAACTCTCACCTGACACCTCTCAGGAGGGTCGTAGCGTAGACTCAACTTTTTTCCTCCCCACGGCCAGTTGATCGGCACTGGCTCTGTGGGACTTGTTAAACTTCTATTCAAGGACTTCATCCCCCATAACCACCTGCACTCACTGCCCTTTAACCCCCCCATTCACACCCTCCATTATCACAGCTTGTTAATTTCACTGTGTGGTTAACCTCTATTGAGGCTATGAACCGTGCCTTTAGCCCAGAGTATCACACTACCACGGCAGTAAACCACAGAAAAGCTTGCAATTGGCCAATTATTAAAGCTGGCAACATGCAAGTATATTTATTTGGTGGAGCTATAATGTTATATTATAACTGGAACAAACCCTAAAATATCTGTTTTAGCTGGGACAATGAATTGTTTTTAGCAAAGTACATAGTAAAATTAGAGCTTAAAGCAAGATTTGTATATAATAGTAAAATACAACTGTCTTTTCAGTCTAAAATCTCACTGTGGGGCCTCGGTTGGAAAAAACCTATCCTTTTAGTTTCGTTCATACAGCACCCAGGTTAGTATTCATGAGCATGCTGTGTGCAGTTTACTGATTTCATGCCATAAGTTCAGATTTTTCAGAAATAACAAGGTAAAAATAAAAAAAACAAGTAATAAAAGAGCAAAAATCAATTAAGACAAACTGCATGTGATAAACATCTGGGCTTTACCTGTGTGTAGTTTGAAGTCGTCGTGTGGTGACTGTGTATGAGACTGATGGTGATGGGGACGGCTGAGCTGGTCAAGCCTCTGAGACACTCTCTTCAGCTCCCTTTCTACCAAGCGGGCTAAGCCTTGCTCGTCCTGTCTAAAGCTGGAAAGCAAAACAGAATCCTACGTGTAACCACTCTGTATAAACACATACAATAAAAGCTGTACTGTATGTGGACTTTTACTATACTGAGATCCAGGTATTCCATGAGTTCTGTTTGCATTATTAAGACCATAAATGTTGTTGAATACCGTTGCAGTAACAGATGGAGATCATCTCTGGTCAGCTGGGTTGCATCTCTCTCTTTGCTCATCCTCTGCACCTGAGTACTCAAAGCCTCCAAGCGAAGAGCCAGTCTACGAAAGCGAAGACCATGCTGATCTATAACATAAAGTATATACAACATGGTATGTCATGTATGTACAGTATCATATGCTCCCCCTATCATAATGTTTAAGTAGTAATACTGTGTGTTATGTCATAGCAAATCTTGTTCGTATGTATCATGAAACAGCATGCTTATGTAATGCTATTTTATTAAGTTCATCTGCTGCAAATGAAGCAGCAATTATGTCTATGTGTCTTTTCCATATTCCATGTTGGGGGTACGATAATGGCATCTAATTGTTCTAATTGTTTTACAGAGGTGTATTTTCCTGTGACAGAGAAAGACGGTATTGAGTCATAATTCTGATCAAATGTTTATATGTATAACTGGAGTTTTACAGTCATCTCACATTGCTTTGTGGTTTCAGAGACGGCTCACACACAAGCACATACACCTATATAGACATGCTGTATGCTTATGTTTTTGGTGAATTTTTCCACAGACACGCTAAGCTCAAATTGCTGACCTCATATGCTGTTAAGGCTATATTTTAACATGCACTTCAATGAGGTCAAGCTATTCACAAACAGCACATGTACATTAATTTTAGTCAGGTGTCAGGTGTCAGGTAAGTCATTAAGCCAGTGGTTCCCAACCTTTTTTGCTTTTAACCCCTTAAATTGATGCAGCATCTCTTTGCAGCCCCTTAGCCTTAATGCTAAAATGAAATGGGGAGCAGTTCAACCAAAGAGTATTTTTTCCTAATTTTTAGAAGCCTGAGGAAGCAAAAGTCTCCTAAACTTTACAAGAAAACAGCAAATGTCGCGTAACATACATAGTACACATAGTAATATATATGTTTCATTCCCAATTCCTTAATCATTTTTGACCCCTAAGATGTATCTTTATCTGACAGTCAGGTTGGGAACCACTGCATTATCAAATAATAAAGTGTATACAAAGAAAAAAAACGTCCAACATTCACAAGACCCACTGTCAAAAACATACATTTAGCTACAAGGCTATAAAACGTGGGCTGTGGTGTCTGTATATTATTACTGTTTGCTGTTTTAATAAACAATGTTAAATGAAACCTCTAAAGTACCTCTCGTGTTTTCTCTGAAAGGCCATCCAGTGTAAAGTGTTATAGCAGTAGCGTTCACTGTTGAGCCACCTAGCTAGTAGCCAGACATTTTAGTTACCAGACCTACCATAACTGTAAAAACAGTGAATGTGAGTTTTAAAATCCTGCTTGTGAGATTTAAATATGCTATTTTAGATGGCAGATGAAGGAGGTCTTGGTTGAAACATTTGTAAGAAGCAAGGAGGACTGTTAAAAGAGTTGCGTTGGCAGTGAATGAGGAATATTGAGTGTTATATTGGGGAGCTCAGGGGCGGTTGGAAATAGTTTTTGGGAAAGACTACTCACTCTGTGTTTTTTCTGTTTTGTGAGGTGGGGGGGGGTGGGGGGGTGGTTAGGGTTGATTTGAGGTCAGAATAAAGATCTCCTTGGTGATATGGTGATAAAGCTTTAACCTGTGATAAACAGTAAAATCGCACAGACTGGTGATGTCACTTCATCTGTGTTTGCTCAGATGACTGTGAGCATATCACTACTTACATACTAATACTTACTACTAATATACAGTACATTACCTCAGGGTCAGAGCCAACATATTTCTTTTTCATAGAGAAAATCTGCCAACCGAATGACATATTTCAGTTTTATCACTCATTGCACATCGTCCTGTTCAAGCCCTTTCCTAAAAATAAGTAGAATTACTGTGATGTGGGTGAAACTTTTTTTCTGAAGTAAGCAACCTCCATAAGGCACAACTAAAATCATCTCGTGTCACTGCCCTTGTTAGGGCAAAAGACATTTATTTAAAAATTACCATAAAATGAATCAGTCAGATGGATGATTTCTTACAGAGAGTCAAAACTGTCTATTTGGTGATATGTTTGAGCTGGATTAACTGGGCGCGCTGACCAACAGCTTCCCCCCATCTGGTATATTTTCCAACACAACCATTGCTCTTTGTACACAACTCGTGGTGGGTCCCTCAAAGCACAGCCCAATTGTGGGTCTGTGGCTGAGATGCACCAGTGTGTCACAATGTTCCTAGAACTGGAGAAGAAAAGGATTGGGATGTTTAGATAAAAAGTAATCTTCTGTGATTACATTTTGAAACTGATTCATCAGAAGCCACTTTGTCCAAGTCAAAAAATTAACCCTTACAAGAAGGCTACTTTTATTGACTGTGGAATTAAATGTTATGCGTGAATATGTTTCTATATATGGATTCAGCCCGTTTTAAATAATTCAGAAGTCATTCAAGTTATTTTGACTTAAGAAATTCTAAATATTGAATGAATCATGTTAAATAAAATCACAATTTGACATACACAAAGCAACAAGTAGCCTATTGAACATGGATCAAGAAATCTGGGGGACGCACAGCACCAAAATATGTTAATTTATTTATCGGCTGCATCAGAAAGAGCGCTGATTTTACAGAAATACATAGTCTGGAGGAGACTGTTGACAGCATTTGTCTCTTCCTTGTAAACCAGGAAGAAAGCTTTTGCCCAAACAACCATGTCTACCCACAACTGTCAGACACATGGGGGGACCCACCACGGATTGTGTACAAAGCTATCTACACTGGGAAGACAGTGAGTCTTTGCTAACTATACAATACTGCTATTTCCCCAATCAACGTGTAGTGTGAAGACATCACATCTTAAGAGATTAATGTGTTTCAAAATTTGTTTTGTTTTGAATATTTTTTAATCCACATGGAATGGATACATGGATGTTTGCTATAGAAAAGGCTTCTGTTTTTTTTTTTATAACAATGGTCTTCTTCTAAACAGTGTGTGTGTGTTTGTGTGTGTGTGTGTGTGTGTGTGTGTGAGTGTGTGTGAGTGTGTGTGTTACCTTGTTCCTCAGGTGACCTCCCAGAGGGTTCATCCCTGGCCATCTCTAGTGGCATCCAGAGGCTCTGTAGCAGCAGGCTGAACACAGACAGGCACAGACAGAGCACCAGACAACCACTAGAGGGCACAACACACAGAGAAACCTCTTCAGATGCCACAGCAAACAGTACATCAGTAGTTCCTTCCTGAAAACTTTTTGTTAGATGAACTCAGGTACCCCATGACACCACCTGTCAAATGTGCTTATTTAAACTGATTTAAAACCGGATGTTATAATAATTTTTTTTTTTTTTAATTGAACTGTCAATGTATCCATTACTTTTAGCTAAAATTTCAACCATTCATCAAATACGTTTAGATAACAGTTTGAATTATATCCAACAGTTAGGCTACCTGTTTCAACTAAATTCATTATTTTAATCTATTTCAACTGTTAAGTCATTACTTTTCTGTAACATACTTCAACCATTAATCCAGTACATTTAAGTATTTGAAATGTTTACCAACTTCAATCATTTATCCATTAGTTTTAGCTAACATTTTAGACTTTCCTGCTCGCTTGCTAGCTAGTTTTCACACTCTCAATTTCAGGTGTTATAGTTAGAATCAACACGTGGGTATATTTTGTTATTTCTTTCTCGAATGAGTTGAGCTACGATCTTTCCATGTACCCCCTTAGCAACCCCCAGGAAAGGTTCCTGGTTGTGAATCACTGCAGTACATGTAATTTTGAAAATGGAAGATCATATTTTATCAATAAGCACAGACCGAATACAGTAAACAAAACCAGATATGTCATTGTTTTATTTTCTTAATATGTTTAATGACCACATATTGGACATGCGTCATTTGTGCCATAACCAACCAGTTCAATCTCTTTTTAACTTAATATATTTGAGAGAGGGTTGGATGCAATAAAAACTTAGAGCCTGATCTTGCCCTTCATCATATACATTGAGAATGTGGGGAACTAAATTGTTCCATGACTTCAATGAAGGACTCTGGTGTGTCAAAACAAATATCTGAAGCATGATGTGCCGTTATAGCGTGTGTCTGCTTGCTGCTCACACAGGCTCCCAGCGTCAGTTTAACTGGGGCAGAGAGAGCAATCCCTTCTCTCTCGCTTTCATCAGGCCAGTAAACCCACCAACCCTAACCTAAAGAAACATGACGCAGCCAAGCTCAAGTACAAGGCTCTCCTAGTGCCTATAAAATTCTAGGTTCAGATCCAGACAAATTATTTACATTTCAGTCAATCCGTCTGCATTTTGTTGAATAGTCAGAGCATTAATCAAAACATCACATGTCTTTGGTTGAGGGCATATAAAGTATGGAAAGGTAGCACAGCTATAAAGCTGCATAGGAGACATAAAGATCACTTTGTGACAGCTTGCTCGATATCTACTGTAGATAATGTCCCATGCTAGGGAGATCCAGCTCCACGTAAAAGAAAGATATGATTAGTAATATAATCAATTTTGCATTATACTGTGCTTTGTCAGTCACTGTGAGGTGCTACTCACACATCTCAGCTGTCTGAGAATGACAACTTGCAACGTTTTGCTAAGTAAGTAAAGATAAATGTCAGTGTACACAGCAGAAGCAGGTATGGATGAGGTGAGGTGCATCAGTTACTTTTAACAGTAAATTTTACAACTTCCTGGACACTGATGATCCAATGATGTTGAGCCTTACCTGCGTGGCCGCAGTGCAACATGCATGGCCCACTGCTTACAGTACGTTGGATTTCACTGTCAAAACAAGAACATTGCAATTGCCAGTAAATGCAACACGCTCAGTAATGAATGTATAGTTATGTTACAAAATTACATTTTCTACTAATATATTTGGGTTTAAGGACTACAGGACTACAGACCCATCATAGTTCCTTTTTTCGGCAAATTGCAAATGAATGGTCACACTTTCCACATGAACTGCATCAATAAAGTAGATAAATAATAAAGTAAATGGATTTCAAAGTAATTCTATTGCCAGCATGACTGGCCATGTATTTTCAGCCTGTGGTCTTTCTGCAAGTGTGTTAAACATGTTCATTAAACCTAAGCAACAAAACACTGCTGTCACCAGACCTGTTGTTGTTGTGTGTCAATGTGAGACAGATACAGAGATGTCAGTAGTTGAGCATACAAGAAAAAACAGCACATGGACAACCACAGACACGCACACACACACACATCCTCACCTCCTTGGGTCTCCCGTCTAAACCCACTGGCAACCATTAGGCCTGTTTTCAAAACATACAAAGTAAAAAAAGGAAATAACAGGGCTGGGAAGTATCTTGCCTCCTTTTTTGTCTCTTTTCGCTATCTTTCCCCCCTTCTCTGGTCGTGGCTTTTCTCTCTCTCAGGGGCTATGGGCAGGCATCCTGTGGTTGTCAAGGTAACCTGACTCCCCTTTAAAGAAAACAATACCCTGAGTGCTGCATAGGCCTTTCAATGATACAATGGAGCCCACGCTATTGGGTGACACAATTTCTTTCAGTCTCGCTGACTAGACTTAAGCCTCGGTTGTGAATTGATACTCAAGCCGCAAGCTCATTTAAATAGCTGAAATGGTGCAAACCTCTGGCACTGAATGGTACAATGCAGACAAAGGACAGTACAAATTTAATGACAGTGACAACAGTAAGCATCATAATAGCCCCAAGTAAATACTCAGTTGAAACTTTAAATATGTTAAATTAAGTTAATTAAGCTATTATTCTGACTTGTTCTGACTTAACTGTCATAATTCAGGGCATATTTCAATCATACAGGAATTAATGCATTTATTTCTTTGGAGGTTTTAGAATTGAGAGGGAAACCATACCAAGTTATTAAATGGTCTCACATATTTCCAGTAAAAGACAACTACATTTCACTGAGTTTCAACAGTTTTTATTTTTTAATCAGACTGTTGGTTTATTAAATCACGCATGACTAGGAAACCTGAACTTTTGGTGACAAGGCACTAAAATCCAACATTGTCAAATAGTGGTAATGCCACAGACACTCAGGTGGGTTTGAAAGTTAAAAGCCTTCAATTACCAATCTTTAAAAAACTTTTAAAAATACAGCATACTGTATGTTTTCATGTCAGATGTATACATGCATATCTCAGAACACATTAATCCCTGTCATGGCTGCCTTTAGGAGGCCAATAGTATTTTGTAATTCAGGCAAGATTCAAAGCAAATCAACTCTACAAAAAATCAAATATGTTCCCAGAACAAGCTAAGGGAAAACAAAAATAGCAGTGTGATCTCTTTAAAGCTTGCTTCTGACACAGGTGATCATGGGAATGAACGTGCAACAGTAATTAAAGATCAGTGCCATAGGCCTACAGCATGCCAAAGATTTCTACGCCACTTACCTAATTAAAAAAATTCTGTTTGAACAAAGATAGCTAGGACACATGTCACTCTTAAAAGGACAGTCTTGTTCAGTCAGCTGACATACAGCTAGGCTTACAAAATGGGCCATGAACACAATTAGCAGTTGACTTAAGGGCCCATATGCCGTACCTTCCTTACCTCAACAAGTAAGCGTCCACAACACTGAACCCTGATTGGCTGACAGTACCAGCTCCTTCATGTCAGTTGAGGTAAACCTGTGTAAAGGTTTGGTTGGGTGCAAATGTTGTTCAAATCATGTTACAGGAAGTCATTCCTTCTATCCGTAATTACACTCTGTAGCTTATCTACTGTTCATGGAAAGGGACCTAATGTACGACTACTTGACTTCTACAGTTAAAGATTACGATTATCTCTTGATTATGTTTTATTAATAAACTAATCAGTTCATCTAATATATGCCACTCCCTCCTCTTTTTATCTATTTTTTAGATTTTTATATTCATTTTTGGCCAATTATCTGACCACTGAACACTAAAAGAAACTTTCACATTTGAGAGCTGATTTCACTACTTTAATTCTTACTGATTTAAATGACTGATGGATTAGCAAAATTAGCATCCATTCACTCATTTAACCTTTATTTAGCCAACTGGCAGCTGCACTATTCACCTGCAGGTTTAGTGCCTTAGGATGGTTGTTGAGTAGAAGTCCAGTTACAAATTTACTTTGCCTAAACATTTTCCCAGGCAGAGTAATTTTCAAGCCCAATTCTTTAATCTTTCTGTTTAATTGTATAAACTTCACTGCATGTCTAGCACTCTAATTAATCTGTGTTTATCAGATAAAAACCCTGGTCTTAATGGTGCATTTTACAGGAGACCACTGGACTAACTGGTTTAATCCAGGTGAATTCTAAATGTAATCTTAAAGGATTGGTCAGATCTAAGTCTGGTATGAAAGAAACGTTTCAGGTCCTGGTTCTGTATATACTACCAGTCTTATGTGTGTGTATAAACAGGTCCCTTTGTGCCTTTGTGCATGTGTGCACTTGTGCGTGTGTATGTGTGAGATAGGAGGACGGGGTGGTGCTGGTTACTGAAGTGATGTCACGCAGTGTGTGGGAGCAAAAGGATTTAATGAGCATAAACCTCCATAAGCTAGGACCTAAAGGCTTACTGGCTTTGCACCCATCTGTCTGTCTCTCTCTCTCTCTCTCTGTCTCATACACACACACACACACACACACACACACAAACACACACAGACTTGCTGACAATCCTTCATACTCACTCAAGACTTCAGACTGAAATGAAATATGAAATCATCATAATGATACGAGTTCCTGCAGATTAGGATGCTCTGTCTGCTTACCTTATGTGACATGGCTGCTCTCGTCTTACCAACACACTTTAGGGCCAAATAGGCCAGCACAAGCTGCTTAAAGTAAACTATTCGGAGATTGTAGATGCATCTCGGGCTATGAAGAACTACTGCGTCTTCAAGAGAGACAAAACACAATCAATATCATGAAGAGATTTAATAATGTGCAATGTAAAGGGTGCTAAGATCTGGATGGATTTCTCTGGAATATAGGCTATTTGGGTGGGAAACTAACTCCAGCTTCCCGCCAAATGCTGCTAAATCTTTGGACAAGGCTGAAAGATTACCTTCACTCTCTATCACACATCAGAAAATAACCACCCTTGTTTAAGGTTTTATTCTGTTGTATAAACCTACAGAAGAGGGTTGCTCACGCGTTATAAAAGTGGCTGGTACAGTTTGAGATTTACCAAACAAAATAGTATGAATCCAGAATAGGGGTAAGTGGTATGTACGTAATTAAATATTATCACAGTAATAGCTGAGCATTCAGTTGTCAAAGCCTAAGATTTTCAGATGTCAGTAATTTTGTAGCTAAGGCACATTCTATCCCAATTGCAACACTAAGAAGGTCAAAGTAAATGAGCACATGAAAAAAACAGCCGTGTTTAAGGCAAGGCTGAACAACATTTTACCCTGAGTTGTTTTGGAAGGCAATGATGGTCCACAATTTAATTATCAATAATAACTGTCATGTGTTGGGCGGTTGCTTTGAGTACAGGACAAAGGCAGGGTTTGTTGCCCTTGCTTGGGTACTTCCTGTCCTGTCCCAGTGCCATCACTTATTTGACAGAGCATGTCTGCAAGTAGCAAGACAAATCAGATACTGTGAGCAGTGAGCAAGTTGTCTTCTAGAAGTAAGCCATAAAAGGAATCGTCTAATATTTGTTTAGTTTTAATATCTTGTGGCATTCCTATAATTCTTCAGTCAGCACATTTGATGGAAGTGTATGTGATATTTAAGTTGATATTGATGACTACAATATGTGTAGCCTATAATGTAGTTGGATTTCTTCACTCACAGTCTTTAAATCCTGACACTGTTCTTTAAGACCAACCAGAACAGTGGCTGTAAACAGTCCATATTTAACCAACCCACCTGAGTCCCTCTGCATGCTCACAGAAGCGGACCGTAACCGGGTTTGGATGCACTGCGCATGCCTGTGAGAACCACACTGCTTCGGGTCCATAGACTTCAAGACATCTCACATCCAGGTAAGGAAAACGTCCGTTTACTTGCTGTTGTTTTATCCTTTGCTTACCAGTCTTCGTTCATGTGTTGTAGGTAGGTTAATTATTTTTCCTCCCGACCTTTGTGTTTTAAATGCATAGCTTTCCCGCAGATTGAAGCTGAAATCTCTTCAGATCAACAAACTCCAAGACAGCCTGCACACCAAATTAATGTGTGGTCGGTAACATTCATGCTAGCTGGTGCAGCAACCATAGCCAGCATATGTTACTTGGTTGTTTTGGTGTCGTTCAGTATTTGTATAGCTTCGCGTCTGTCTTGCGTTGCGATGTGGTCAGGCAGCTAACGTTAGTTGTGTGTGTCTGGTCAGGGTTAGCTGCGGACATGCACTGACAGGAGCAGCTTGCAGCTAGCTAACGCTAGCAATGCTAACCTGGCAAGTCGAAATGGAAAAGGGTGTAACGTTATCAGATTTAGTCGGGCGGTAATGTTAAATATCCTGTGACCCGTGTGCCTTGGCGTCCTGCCTCACCTCAGCTGGCTAGCTGACGTTCATGGGTCACTCGACTAACGTTAATGTATATTGCAGCTGGCACTTCAGTGTGACTCTACTGTACCATCAGATACTGTAATATTAAACAAGGACAATGTGACTGACACTGAAACGTTAGCCATTTGTGTGTTTATGTCTTTGCATTTGCCCCAACATAACTGATTTCACTTCGACGCTGACGTTAGCTTCCGATCCAGCAGTTAAGGGGAACTGACGTTGCTTATTGACTAATCTAACCGAACACTTTCTGCAACTCTTACTGTTTTGAAATCCATGTTAAACATGTTATTCAAAGTCTTAATGCTCTCAGAAACCCACTTTCAAATTTGTAAATCCTTTTATTGTACCAGTGAAAATGCAAGAAAGGGAGGTTTCCCTGCTTTTTTTGCATGTAGACCAGATTGAAAAAACCCACTGTACTAACACTGTTGAAATCTGGACGAGATTACCCCAGAGATACCAGGGACTCTCTAAGACACTGTTTTATATTTGTGAAACCTTTTTATAGTATTTGTGAAAATGCAATAAAAGGAGACTTCTCTGCTTTTTAAATTTTTTTTTTTTTTTTTTTTTTTTTTTTTTTTTTTTACACCTAGACCCCATCAGATCCGGTCCAGATTAAAAAAAAACAAAAAAAACATTATACATACACTTATCACTATCAAATAATATACAATATACACTATGAAATGTGGACTATATTATCTTAAAAAGGATAAAGATTTACTATCTTTAAAACAGATTTTTGAAACCTTTATAATGTATGTGAAAATACAAAAAGAATGCTGACTTTACTGCTTTTTTCCCCATGTGGACCGCATTAGGTCCACCCAAAAAAACACTAGGCCTACCTAGACCTGTCAAATGTGATGAGATTATCTGAAAGAAACCAGAGACTCTGAAAGACAGTTTCAGATTTGTGAAACCTTAATTTACGTTCAACTCTATTGGCTACTGTAAATGCCAATTAATATCTGCAACAAATACGTCCCTAGCTTCGTGTTTTACAGGAAACATAATTATGCCTATGAGTCTGCTTCATGGGAACTTTTAAGTTTTCCTTAACAGCCGAATCAAAAGCTGCAAATCAGAAGCCAACTTCAGCCTCTTTCGCTCACAGCAACATTACCTAACCCTTTCTGTAGAAGTACAGTTCAGCGTGCTCGCTCCAGTAAGATTTCCTTTAAGGCTATTAGTTTTCTTGCTTTTCCATTCAGTGCCTTAAGTATTACGTTATGAATACCTTTCTCTTGGTCTACCATTGACATATTGCATCCTGTGTCAAAGGTTAAAAGGCAACATTTAGGTAAAGAGGCACTCTAAGTAGGACAGTTAATCTCTCTACAGACTCACCATATGCTTCCAGTTTTACATGCAGTAATGAACTGGTATGCACCTCCATGTGACTTGTTGGAGGGCAGTGTGAAATGATCTGATGATTTTGTTATTTTCGATATCTTGAAAGTGATCTTTGGACACGCATTTCCGTGTGAAAAAGTTTGATGATTGAACGACAACCATTCTCAGTGAACTGTGTATCGTAAATGATCTTTGGATATGCATCTCCATTTATCTTGGGAGTGAGCCTTGGCGGGAAATGATCTGATTATTGTATGATAGTTTTTAAATATAGGCTACTACTTGTGAAATTTTACAGCGTACAAAACATGATTATTTCCCTCACCACCAGAGATCGCAGCTTTAGTAACAAACTCGGCATGAGGAATTAAATTAGCCTAAGATTTATTTATGAGCCGGTGGTCATCTGATTGTTTTGTCTCTGTCATACGGTATCACTAAGATAGATGAAATGCATGTATGTGCTGCTTCCACCTAAAGATCTTTACCATAGCATATGATTAGTGAACTTGGCTAATGTTGTTTTATAGTACAGATATACTGTGGCCATTTTGTAATACATCCCTCCTCACGTGTTGCAAATCACCGCTTATGGAAATGGATACACATAAACATGCCTAACTATCACAAGCCTATGTAGTATCCTCAACTAATCAAAATCATAGTCCAGGAGGTAGCTAGTTATATAGAACACTTAAGCTTGTAGGAACTCACAAAGGACTGGGTCTTGTAGGTCCAAGTGATTTCTGAACATGTTTGTCTTTCTTAATATGATACTGTTCAGTATGAAACATAGACTACTTATCTAACTGTAGTGAAAGTAAGTAAGCTTGATTATGTGCCAGTGCTGCTGACGGAGTGACTGGTTTTGCAGGTCTATTTTTTCTGATTATGCACATTCATGTCTTTATTTTTCTCCTTGTGTCTTCCAGTAACCATCATGGGCAGTTAAGAAAAATAGGCTAGTCATCTGCTGTGTGGAGGACAGAAGGTTAGCAATACCCCAGGGCATTCCTCCTCCCTTCCCACTTAGGCAGTCCAGCGAGTTTCCAGCACCATGGCTGAAGAAGACTATGGCAGCTTTGTGGACTGGAACCAGATGGGGGAGCTGGCCAAGAGCAGCGGGCCCACCAAGGTAGACTGTAAAGACCTGAAAGAGTTCAAACAGATGGCTCGTCAAGGTTACTGGGCCAAAAACCACAAACTACGGGCACAAGTCTACCAGCAGCTCATCAAAGCCATTCCCTGCCGTACAGTTACCCCAGATGCAGAAGTATATCGTGACATTATGGGAAATGCAGCCACTAAGAAGCCCTCCTCCAACATCCCTCTTCCAGATTTTGTGGATGGAAGTCCTGTGCCACGGTACTGCCTGAAGGCAGAGGCAGTAGGCTCGGTCCATCAGATTATCAACTGCCTAGCCGGACAGTTTCCAGATATCTCCCACTGCCCATCACTACCGGCTATTACTTCACTGCTGCTGCACTTCAGCATAGACGAAGCTCAGTGTTTTGAGCACGTCAGCCGCATGCTGGCCTGCAATGAGCCGGGCAAACGAATGCTGGACCAGACTTTCCTGGCCTATGAGTCCAGCTGCATGACTTTTGGTGACCTGGCCAACAAGTACTGCGCACCTGCCCACAAACTGATTGTGGCCACAGCCCAGGATGTGCTTGAAGTCTACTCGGACTGGCAGAGCTGGGTGTTTGGTGACCTGCCTTTCAGCCACGTGGTGAGGATCCTGGATGTCTACCTAGTGGAGGGCTACAAGATTCTCTTCCGTGTGGCTATAGCCTTGCTCAAGTTTTACCGCAAGCATAAAGCAGGGGTCCAGGGAGGCCAGGGCAACCAGCAACAACAGGATTCAGGCAAAGTTAAGGCTGACATTCAAGCTTTCGTCAAGGGCATCGCCTCCACCGTCTCACCCGACAAGTTGTTAGAGAAGGCCTTCTCCATCCGTCTGCTCAGCCGTAAGGAGATCACCCTGCTGCAGCTCACAAATGAAAAGTCCCTGCAGCAGAAAGGAATCACTGTCAGACAGAAGCGGTATAGTCAATATAATGATTTTTATGTGGTGAATTGTGAGCATCTTTCTGTTGCCTTTTTATTTAGAAACTGCTTTGAGTCGCCTTACTTGGCAAAACTACTGCATATCTGGCATCAGTAAGGACACAGAATCCATCACATGGATATCTTCCTAGTATACACATCTTAATATTTTTTTTTGTCATCAAGGACGACACAGACCTTGTGAGACTGTTTATTCAAAACATAAAGCTACCAATATTTATCATTTTCTTTTATGTTTGGCCAATCCTATAATAAACAATCACGGTCTTGGTGTCACTACTTCTTGTAAAGATGCAATGTTTGGGAATTAAGTGCTTGAATATAGTACATTTGATCTGATTTGAGATGACAGGGACACAGTAAGAATAGCTTTTTATGATTTTTGAACATGATTAAATGTAAGACACGGGTCCTGGACTATAAATTAAATCAGAGTGGTATGCACGGAATGAGATAAATGCAAAAATAGTACATGGGTACACTGCAGAATATATGACAGAGATAGATTATTTACTCAAGCAGTTTCATTTGCTTCATTGGAAAGAATGTCCTGTTCTTTTTAAGCTTTAGTCTGCCATGCTCTAACAAATGATTTAAGTTGCTCTTGCGTCCTTGTCTCACATTCTGTTGTTTCCTTTTTGTTTGTTTTGTGCCACGCTTTTTCTACCACCATCTTCTGTCTCATCTTCACTCCACTCCTGCGTTTACTGCATTGGTTATTTCACAGTTTTAGGTGGGTTGTCTTCACTCTGCTACTCTCCAGATCCATTTCTAAGCTTTTCAAATAATGCTCTCAGTTATAGATATGATGTTTCAGGTGCATTTTTATTCATACACTGATGATTCTACATTCTGTATCTCTCACTGTGTTCGTATTTCTTGGGGCGTCTCCAGGGGGAATGTGCAGCTGGCACTTAACCCTGACACCTTCTCCTCGGAGATTGTCAGTGCCAAGGAGATGCGGGTCATCTGGTCGTGGATCCCTGAGCGCTTTGCCCTGTGCCAACCACAGCTCCTCTTCACCACCTCCACCCATGGTTGCAGCCTAAATAGGTACATGTCCATTGCAAATGTCCTTGAGCAAGTCATTTAACCTTACCTGACAGCTAGCAGACTGTGAGGATATATTCACTGAATTTGACAAAAACACATATTTTGTATTAGGATCGCCTATTCCACCTTTATTCCATCGTATTATTTCTTTAAATTTACATTTTTGGGCTCTGTTTAGCATTCAGTCTTTGAATTTCATGTATAGCCAAAAGGCTGAAAGAAAATGTAAATGTGAACACAAAAGCAAAGCTGACGGAAGCAAAAAAGCAAAAAAAAAAGTTGAAACTAATGTAAAGTCCCATTTTATTTTATTATTTTCATTCTATTTTATTATAGGCAGAACACAAGCAACTATATAGATTAATAAAATAAGCTTAAGATAAAAGACAATATTTTTTGCCTAATCTTTATTGTCATCCAGTCATTACATGAAGCATTTATTTCACATTTCTGTTAGATGGTTATGTTTCTATAGTGGAAGAGAAGTAATTAGTGTTTAATAAACTAATCAAGAAGCCAGTAGCTGAGAGTTTTGTTCTACATTTAACCAGTGCCTAACTTAACTGTACATGCATGTGCGCTTTACTAAATGTAGCAACCCAAATTATGACTGTTGTAATTATGTGATCCATGAAATATGTGCAAGTTGCAATGAATTCAACTTTCACATTTTCCCTTCAGATTCTACTCTCATTGTGAAGGCTACGAACCCACTCTGCTCCTCATCCGGACCACAGATGGTGATGTAAGCAGCACACACACAGACGGCAAACTCTCGTGATTCCCTCACAGGACTCAAGGATGCACATTATTATAATTACAAATATTTTGGATAACTTCAGTTATTTTTGTTAAGATTAATGCAGCACAGATCAGTAAGCCATCTTAATATTTGGGTTTCTCCACCCGATTGTTAACCTAATATACTAAATATTATGTAAATCTTATATTAGGTCCTCAACCTCAGTTAGGTCAGATATTTAAGGTACAACGTGAGCTGAAGGACTCTCTTGAATGTCAGTCAAATAGGGAACATGCTAGTAAATGGGTCTTGCAGACTGTAGCTGTGCAAATTTCTGGCCAAACTCCACCCTAGCAAAGCTTGCTATTGCGCGTGATGTGTAATACAGGCACTTCTGTACTGGCCTACACATTGTCAGTCAGTGTTTTTTTTGTTTCAATAACTAGAAAGATCTGCAGTAGCTTTTGCACCAGTGTTCTTGTCCTGGGCTCTGTGTATTCAGGCCAGAGATCATGACACTATTCTAAGTACTCAAAAGACGCTTTACAGGGGGTAAGATAAAGTAATTGGTTAATGATTACACGGATATTGTATGATTGGATTTTGGTGCTACAAAGGGATCCCAGCACAAACATTGGCAGCTTACAGATAGCAATCATAAGCTAGTAGTAGTTGGTTGAGTATTTTGAGAATGGAGCTATTGCACATGAGCAAATTTAAGAGAGTAATCCACTGATGCCAATTCCTTTTTTTTCCCCCCTCAGATATGTGGAGCCTTCCTGTCCACAGATTGGGAGGAGCGGAAGAGAGGAGGCAATAAATTGAGCTTCTTTGGAACTGGGGAGTGCTTTGTCTTCAGGGTGAGTTTATTTTTACTATCTCCACTTTCTAGCTTCTTTTAAGCAAAAAATCTCTTCTTTTTTGTTCATTTAGGGAATTTTAAGGTTTTTAGGTTTCAATTGAAGGGAGAATGTTTTCATTTTCAGCAGTACTGCACTTTAGCCACCAGAGGGTACCATCCACACAGTTTCAAATATTGATTTCAGTGTCACTGCCCATTGGCGTTTAGGACTGCCATCTGAAAAAGCCTGCCTAGTAGGTCACAGTTCACTGTA